CACCACTCAACCACCAGGATTCTCTCCTCCCCTTCACGGATCGCCATGCACGGCAAACACGTGGGTGGATGTTTAGATCCCATAGGAGGTAACTGAAAATACAGAACCTTCCTTGGGGGGGTCCCCTCACCACAAACAGGAATCCACCTCGAGGGGAGTTAGGTAGAATTGAATAGAGGGAGTCACATGTGCAATGAGAGTGTGTCACACTCTTATTAGAGGAGGACTGTCGCATGATTTGCATGAGAAATGCATTGGAATCAGTCAATTCCAATGGAGAGGACGTAAAAGGCTTGTGGCATGCATAAAATATTTTATGCATATACAGGACAGCAATGAACGAGAATAGTTATTTATGTGAAAAGAGGTAATGTACCGCATCAGAATGCAGTTTCATTAAACATAGGAAAGTTGTATTTGAAGATAGCATTTATATACAGAAACATCTGTTAGCTGAGTTCTTGCACAGATCTTAAAATATGCCATTGATAAATTGAAACATCAGCACATGTAGATACGTAGATCTTGACAGTCGAAAATAGCGCTATATGTTTTCTAATCATTATTAATTTTTCAAACTATTATCTGATTGACTGGTAGGTGCCAAAAAAATGCTGAAGCCATAGTATTAAGTCCTAACACTTACATCATCTCCCATTTCTGAACCCTTTTCAGGGCTTTCGCAGCCAGAAACCCACCCTTGAACACTTTTCAAGACTTTCACAACCAAGAACCCACCCTTGAACACTTTTCAGGACTATCACAACCAGGAACCTACCCTTGAAAACTTTTCAGGATTTTACAACCAGAAGTTTTTAGAACACCAACTACGGTAAATGGAATTCTGTGATGTAAGAATACCACTCTGATAAGAAGATTACAGATAAGTTCATACTTAAGCTTAATTAACATAAACATTATCTGTTTTAACTATTATAACTGTAGAAATGTGGCTTTCTGTTGTTTTGAAGTACACCCATATCAGTGGTAAACTCATTTTACAAAAATGGTATTGTACCACTGTCAAAAACTGGTAAATGTATAATACCAAAGAAAACTAAACTTAAGTCAGTAACAGTACATAATTAGTTTTATAAATTAGGTTTACAGTTTAATGTTTCATGCATACAAATTTCACTCTCCTCAGGAAGCTTGTCTGAACAGTGATATAAAAAATTATGCTATTCAATTTGAAGTCGCACAACCAAAAAAATGCACATTTTTATATTTTGACAAGTCATTTTTCACAAAACCTTTTACATGTAATGTTGTATTGTATGATCATAAAAATTTGTTATCTTCATTATACATTACCCTGTTGTACACCATGTCCAAAAGCCTTCAACGCCATAGGCTGTGATAAATCACCGACCAAAACCTTCAAGCCAGCACCATCAACTTTATTGGCTTCCAAGATCTGACCTCTGTTCCAGTCATCAAAATAGATCCAGTCCTACAAAAAATTAGGAAATTGCCTGCACTTCAAAAAAGATGTTGGATAAATCTAAATCATCAATGTTGTAAACTGTTATATAAATGTAAAGCATATTTTTGTTTATAATTGTATGATTTTGCTTCTAGATAAGTTCATGTAAGATGTATAACAGACTTAGAATAAATTTTTTCAGGACGTTAGTAAGGTCAAAGAGAAGAAAAAATTGGAGAGTTTAGTAACCACAACTGCTTGATCACTGATAGATTTTATTGCCTGACTGTAGAAATATTTTCATTAGGATAATAAATAAAATTTTTATTTATAGTAAATAAAATGTATTTAAACATAACCAGTTTTTCAACAATGAAAATATAAGAACTGCTAGCAGCACTGTATAAACATTAAGCAAGGTGTAACGTTTTGTGAAAAATACCACTAATTATTCAAAAATGAAATACTGCAGGCCCTTAGCAACACTGTACAAATACTTCAGATAATAGGCAAGGTTTTATTTACCTAAACAGTTATGAAAAAGCCTATCAAATACATAGTGTTATCTCAGTTTGAGCTGTCATGTGATCTTGGGAACTTTCATTGTTTAAATGTTAACATTCTACATACATTTAGGCTGAAGATTCCTACAGACTTCCATTATTACAGCTAGAAGTAACTGTAAATAATGTGAATAAAGGTCAATTTCCATTTTCAGTTTTCATACCCTTAATTTCAGTTACTTGTGTATATCTAATTGTAAAGAACTGAACACAAAATTAAAATCCTCCATTTTTTTAATCAACAAGTTTCTTCTAGTTCTTATAGTATATTACTTCTACAGTAGAATGGAATAGTTCCAATAAAATTGTCACAATCTTTTACATTTGAATTAGGAGGTTTTCCAATAGGAACAAGAAATTTATCTAGCAAAATGAAGAGCGAGATAAAATCATAAGCTACATTTATAGTTTAATTAGCAAATATGCAAGATATTTTTCTAAAATACTCCACTTTGATAAACATTTTACTCACTTTAAAAACAGTAACAGAAAATGGATGTGGAATGATTAATCCTCCCTTCAACACATAACGAAAGTGCTGACCATCGAGATCTGCTGATGCTACATAGTCTTTGCGAGCATCTACCCAAAAAATTCGGTCACTAAGATAATCAACTGCTATTCCATTAGGCCAGGTAACAACAGATTTATCAAACAGTCGTACAAAGTTGCTGCCATCTAAGTATGCTCTCGCTACCGAGGGTTTTGAACTGCTCCAGTCAGTTAAAAACATTAGTCTGTGGGGAAAAAAATATTTAATGGATGTTTTGATGATTTATTTTGGTATCTTTATGGTTATTCAGTAAATATAAGGGTTTCCACACTTTCAGCAGGAAAAGTTTAAGAAAAAATCCCAAATTTTTCCACTGTATTTTCACAACTTTCAAGATGGGAGCAAAAAATACAGGGTGTCTATAAAGTCTTTTTACAATTTAAAAAAGTTATTACAAAGGCAATTGATAAGATATCTTAATCAGACTTGTTCTATTGTACTCAGTGGTTTTCAAAGTTTTTAATCACATTGCATTTTTATGTTTCAGGCATCCTGCAGATTAAAGAAGCATCTTTTTGAATGAATCCCTAAGAAATGGCTACTCCTCAAGAGAAGGCACAATGTGTATCATGGTTTATTGAGACAAAATCGGATACGCAGACTCAACGAAACTACAGAACAAAGTATGGAAGAGATCCACCATCACGTCCGTCAATTCGTGCATGGCACAAGAAATTTATGGAGACAGGGACAGTGTTAGATAGAAAGAGGAGTGGGCGACCAAGAACATCTGAGGAAAATGACTAATGGTGCCCGTATAGAGTTGTATTAAATGAGGTAAAAAACTTTGAAAACCACTGTTTATATTTTATCTCTTATTTTCTTTAGCCTAATATTAACTGTAGCTGAAACATCAATGGACAGTAAAATAATATTTTGAAAATTATGAAATAAACATATCTATTCTTCTTTCAGCACATAATTTGTTGTCACATATTAAGTCTCTGTTTTTCACTGTTCACCTTTTCACAACTATACTACATAACATTTTGCAATAGAAACTATACTGTAGGATTACTGTCAAGATGCATGATCATGACATCAAGCATGATTGGATATGACAACATGGACTGCAATAACAAAGTGAGGTCCCAAAATCCTTTTAACCCTTTCGTGATGGGCTCGGTATAAAATACGAGTTTGTGTACACATTTGCACACATTAAGTATTTACACTATAATTGTGAATGCAGTATGTGTATCTTCACAAAATATGGTAGACTTTTAGTAATGATTACAAGATTTTGTACACAAAAAATCAATTTCTTTAATCAAGTATTTTTACTAAAAATTTGTTTGTGAAAATATTGAATCTGTTTCATTACTAGTCCAAGTGCGAAGTGATTTTCATGTTATGATTAAAACACTATTCTTCGTCCCACAAATCTCAAGTATTATTTGTGTAATCTCTAAAACCTCCCAAGTACATTTCAAATGTTTGTTTTCAGTAAAACTTTATGTTTTGACTGATATTTTCTCTATATTAACTATATGCGGACTGTCAATTAGACCGAATTCAAAACCACCATAAAAAGTTAGGAAATAAATATAAATTATGCCTCTTTCATTCTAGGATAACAACAAATTATAACACAAAAACACAAACGTTTAGTGTGAATAGCTTAAATCTCATAACAATATATATTTATTATTAGGTCGTCAAGAAATTTATGTTGCATTTTGGAACACTTTCATTACCCCCCCCCCCAAAATGTACATCACGTATGATAATAGAAAAACGAACCACATAAACATCACGTTAGTGTAGCCCATATAATGTGTAAAGTTTGGTACACTAATCCCTTATAGTGATGGCACACGACGAGACACACATTCAGCATGTAATGCTGTCTGAATGCAAGAGGGGAAAAAACACCTCTGTAGCCACAAAGAATATCAAAGAAGTTTATGAAAATGTTTTGAACATTCATAAGTGTCAACGATGGTTCAGCAAATTTCATTCAGGTGACTTTAGCCTTAATAACTATGATGGCAGGGGTCGACATGTTGGAATTGCTATTGATGCTCTGAGGACACTTGTTGAGTCTAACCCAAGGCAACACACTCGTGAAATGGCCCTGAAATTGCATGTCTCTTATGAAACAATACATAAACTTCTAAGGAATATGGAAAAACTCCATAAAGAAGGTGTTTGGGTTCCTCACGAATTCTACAATGATCATCGTTTCTAACGTGTACGTTGCTTCGTCTCTTCTAGCATGTAATGAGCATGAACCATTTTTGGACAGAATTGTCACCGATGATGAAAGATGGATTATCTATGCAAATATTAAATGCCAAAACAGTGGCTCAGTCATAGACAAAAACAATTTCCAACCCCACAATCTG